TGCTGGAAGAATTCAAAGACTTGACTGAGTCGCCGAGAGTAGTGTCGCGACCCATCCAGCACAGGATAGAGATAGAGCCTGGCAGTAGAACTCCTAAGGGTGCAGTCTACAGAATGTCCCTTAGGGAGTTAGAGGAGCTTCGCAAGCAGTTAGATGAGCTCCTATAGAAACGTTGGATCAGGCCCAGTTCGTCTCCTTTTAGAGCACCAGTCCTGTTTGTCCCAAAGGAGGGAGGACTTCGTATGTGTATAGACTATAGGGGTTTGGACGCGATTACTGTAAAGAATGCTGAGCCACTGCCCATGATCGATGATCTCTTAGATCGGGTGCAGGGTTGCAAGTATTTCTCCAAAATAGACTTGAAGTCCGGATACCATCAAATAGAAGTCCATCCTGATGATCAGTACAAGACTGCCTTCCGGACTAGATATGGGCATTATGAGTTTATAGTGATGCCCTTTGGACTAACCAACGCGCCAACGACTTTTCAACGTTGTATGAATGACCTGTTTAGACCATGGTTAGATAAATTTGTAGTAGTTTGCTTAGATGATATCCTAGTTTTTAGTAAGACCCTCCAAGAGCACCAGGGTCATCTGAGGCAGGTCTTGGAGAAGCTTAGAGAGGCTAACTTCAAGATCAACGCGAAGAAGTGCGAGTGGGCCAAGACACAAGTTCTGTACTTGGGCCACGTATTAGACGGAGATGGCATCAAGCCAGAGGACAATAAGATAGCGGCGATTAGAGACTGGCCGACGCCCCGCATATTGACAGAGTTGCGGTCGTTTCTAGGCTTAGCTAACTACTATAGGAAGTTCGTGAGGAACTTCTCCACTATCGCCGCCCCCTTGCACAGACTGCTAAAGAAAGAGGCAATCTGGCAATGGGACAAAAGATTGTACGTCTACGTTAAAGAGATTGAAGCGCGCATTGATACCCTGTCCTCAAAGTAGCTGATCCGTCTTTGCCGTTTGTCGTCACCACGGACGCGAGTCAATATGGGATAGGCGCCGTGTTGCAGCAAGACGACGACCATGGCTATAGACCCGTAGAGTTCATGTCAGCGAGGATGCCCTGTGAGAAGGTTGCTACCTCCACGTACGAGAGAGAACTCTACGCTCTCACCATTGGAAGCACTATCTGCTTGGGAGGCACTTCAAAGTGTATTCTGACCACGAGACACTTTGTTGGTTGAAGACTCAGGCCAAGATGACACCTAAGTTAACTACGTGGGCCGCAGGGAGAGACCAATTTGACTTTGAGCTTAAGCCAGTGAAGGGCAAGTATAACGTAGTTGCGGATGCTCTGAGTAGGAGATCAGACTACTTCGGAGCTGTAGTACACTATCTGGATATAGGGAAAGACCTGCAAGAAAAAGTGAAGCAAGCGTATGCACAGGACCCTATCTGTAGCGACCTCCTAAAGAGAGTTAGAGAGGCCTCTGAGACTGAACCAGATTACCGCCCTACAGACGGGTTACTGTTTGAGAAGACTAACGTGTTTGACCGCCTATGTGTTCCCAATAGAGAAGAGATCCGCAGTTTGATTTTAGGGGAATGCCACGATACTGAAGGCCATTTCGGTTGGCAAAAGACATTAGCCAACCTGATGCGTGCGTATACCTGGCCAGGGATGAAGAATGACTGCATAGAGTATGTCCGCAGTTGTAAAGTGTGCCAGAGGAATCAGTCTACTACACGCGCGTCCCCTTGGTCTTCTCAGACCCTTGCCTATTCCGGATCAGCCGGGAGACTCGGTGTCCATAGACTTCATGGACACCCAAGTCAAGAGTAGACATGGCAAAAGCCAAGTCATGGTCATAGTTGACCGATTTAGAAAGTATGTTGTTTTCGTTCCTTTGCCTGCAGAGGCACGTACGGACTTAGTTATACTGAAGTTTTTTGACTTTTGGGTTAGTGAAAATGAAATCCCATTGTCAATAGTTAGTGATAGAGATAGTCCTTTCACCAGCCAGAACTGGCAAAAACTCATGAGAGTTTACGGATCTAAGCTATTTATGTCGTCTGACCGCCACCCAGAGACTAACGGTCAGACAGAACAGATGAATAAGATCCTACCACAAGTTCTGCGCATGTATATTAGACCAGATCAGATAAACTGGGATGAGATATTGCCTAAGGTAGCTAGTGCATATAACAACATCGTGCATCTATCCACCTGCCTCACTCCCAATGAGCTGCACAAGTCCTTTAGACCGCGCAGACCATTCGAAGGACTGAACCGGGACCAGATCCACAGGCTACCGCCCGGTACCAGGGAGTTTGCAATACAGCACGAGAAAGAGTTAGCAACTGTTGTTGAGAACCTTAGAAAGGCCCAACACAGGATGATAGAGCAGGCTAACAAGCACCGTCGCCCATCACAGTTTCAAGTAGGCGACTTAGTCTGGGTCAAGGCAAAAGAGTTTGCACATGAAGAAAACATATCGCAGAAGTTACTGCCTGCATATAGAGGACCGTCGCCCGTTCTAGAAGTCAAGGGCGAAGAGGATGGACCGTCCTACAGCATTGAGATTCCAGCACACCTCCACACATACCCTGTGTTTCATGCTTCAAAGTTGCTGTCGTGTGTCACTAGTCAACAGTTCCCTTCAAGGAGGTCCGTGATCCCCCCGGATATGGATGGAAGTTATGACATTGGCGGCATTGTAGATGAGGATATGTTTAGAACAGGAGGTAGAGGTCGTCCCCAGAAACAGTATAAGGTCCGGTTTGCTTATAAGGAACCGGAAGACGACCGCTGGTTTACGAGAACAAAACTTCTAGAGACCGCTCCTGACATAGTCAGAGCCTATGAGCGTGGCAAGAAAGGTAAAGGTCCAGCCTTGGACTGAAATGTTCTCGGAGGACCTCGAATTTAGGACGGCGGGAGTGAAACGGTTTTCACCTTTTAGCAGTAGCCGACGCAGCACCAGGGTTCGATCCCTAGACCTCACCCTACCCATGTACAGTATCCGTGTAGACCCCGAGAATTGACCTGTGTATTCTTAGACAGTTGGTAGGTCTGTCGTAGGTCCATAGGCAGCAAGGGTTCGATCTGTAGGTCTATAGCATAGAAGTCTTAGTGAGTTCCAGAAGCTGAGTTGTAGTCCTTCTAGAAGGTAGGCAAGAGGGCAAGT